GGCAGAGGGAGAAGCAGGCTCCCAAGGAGCAGGGAGCCTGATGCGGGACTCGATCCCAGGACCCTGGGATCATGACCCGAGCCGAAGGCAGACGCTTAACCATCTGAGCCACCCAGGCGCCCCAAATGAAATTTTTAAAGTACATTTATTCAATATTATTATTTATAATTTCTGTACTAGTAAGAGGAACCTAGCTAAAAACATAAATTCTCAAATCAAAGACAACACAGTAACTGTGACCAGGGCTCTTTGGGTTGTAAGTAAGTAGCAGAAATCCAACTAAAAAAAAAAAAAAGAAAAAAAGAAATCCAACCAAAAAATTAGCATAAGCAAAAAAGGGAATTTATTGGCTCCTGGGAGCCTTCACACAGGCCCAGGGCGGTGATCATCACGTGTCTGTCTACATCTCTGCTTTCTGCTTTCCTGTTTTTCTCTTTTTATTTTTGGCTTGATTCTCTCTTGTTCTCCCTCTTGATGGCATGACAGTTCCTTGAAACATGTTCTTCGGGGCTGTGCTCCCTCCCTTGACCCCTGGCATGTTCCTCCTCCCCCTGGCTTCACATAACAAAGTCCTTGGGAAGAGCATTGACTCCGGTCTGAGTCACTTGCCCGCCCTGACTAGTCTCTGTGAGCAGGGGAATGATGGAGTCCTGTGATGAGTCAGGCCTGGGTCACAGAGTCACACCTTTGGAGAGAAGGGAGGTGCAGCGGGTGGTAGAGAGTGCAAGCACAATCACAGGGCTTGAGTGAGTGGGGAACACTTCCCCAGAGACGTGGCACAAGGGGGAGCAGTTCAGTCTAAAGAAGAAAAAGATACCAGGTAGACAAAAACAACAGGTGTCCACTGGAGGGCTTTGCTTCAAATATAAGCCAAGTTTGCGTCTTTAATATGAAAGGAATTAAGTAGTGGAGGAAGTGGATTTGAGTCAAGCAGTAAGTACCCTACATTTAGGGCAGGGAAAGTAAACATTTGTCTCATATCCCCAAGATTTATAATAGGTAATTATTTATGCGTAGAGTCTTACCCCAGATGTTTCACAACAGGATTAACGCCTGTTAGGTGATGAATAAGGAATATCAACTTCATATATTTGAACATGTATTTTTCCAGGAAAAGAAAACCTTTTGTATTTTTCCCCAGCTTTACTGAAATGTAATTGACTTAATAACACTTTGTAAGTTTAAGGTGTACAACATGATTTGCTGCCTGAATGTATCGCAAAATGTTTATCACAATGACAGTTAACACATCCATCATCATCTCAACTAATCACACGTATTTATTTTTGAGGCAATTTCAGTGTGCCAGATTCTTTCCCCTGTGCCTGCTGAGACAGACTTTTAGGAGTTGCTGTCATCAAGGAATGCGTGCGCCAGATGCGCTCATCTTAAGAGAATCCATCCATTTTAATATTGACTTACAGTAGTGCCTGGATATTTACGTGATTAATAAGTGACATTTCTATTTTGTAAAAAAAAAAAAAATGGAATTACAGACCATAGAGGAAAAGATGATAAGTTGATCCAAAATACCTACTGACAGAAGAATTTGGGCTATAAAAAATACCTAAAATATTTAGCCAGAGATTTCTTTTCCCTCTCCTTCCCTCCCCTTCTTTTTTTATTTTTTACTGTGATATATAACACTTTTAAAAAATGTTTTACTGTGGTAGATAACACAGAAAAACGTATCGCCCAATGGTGTATCACAAACCCAACCCTCCTGAGTACCGTCCAGGTCAGGCAGCAGAGCGCTGTCAGCCTGTCAGCCGGTGCCCTCCCCACACTGCTTGCTCCACCCCCTCAAAGTCCTCAGCGATCCCAACTTTTATGTTACTAACTTCCTGGCTTTTCATCTTAGTTTCACCACCGAAACTCACATCTGCACAGCTTAGTTTTGCCTGGTTTTTGAGCTTTCCAGAAGTGGAATCATTGAGTATGTACCCTTTTGGGTCTTGCTTCATTGACTCCACATTACAGTTGTTGTCCACAGCCTTTGTCAGGAGTGAAGGCAGGGTGGGAACGCACAGCTTTTTGATAACTCTGACACCCAGCAACCCTATGAAGTTACAGATTTTAGGTTATTAATCGAATCCTTTGAGGGACCTTAAGAGTCACAATGAGACAGATGAAGTATTTATTTTTAAGAACTCTTGCAGTTGGTACCCTGCCTTCCTGAGAGGAGCGATCACCATGCTGTTTTATGCCATTCCAGGGAGAAACACTTGTGCTGGCTGCATTTCTAGGGCTGCACCAGAGCTCAAGGCTGTCAGCCAGTCCTGCCCAGAAGTGCCTCTCTCACAGGCAGGACTTGAAGTATTTCATGCTGGTGGAGTGGGTTTGCTGGCTTAGTCTTAGGATTAAAGTAGGTGTCTTTTTTTCTTTTAAGATTTATTTATTTATTGGAGAGAGAGGGAGAGTGTGCATGCGAGTGTGTGCACATGGGGGGAGGGACAGAGGGAAAGAATCTCGAGCAGGCTCCCTGCTGAGCGTGCAGCTCAACTTAGGGCTCAATCCCACAACCCCAAGATCATGACCTGAGCCGAAGACAAGCATTGGATGCCTAACTGCCTGAGCCGCCCAGGTGCCTCTACACATAAGCCTTTTGTTGGTGTTTCTAGATGCGTATTCTAGCTTTCTATGCTTCTGATATAATTTTGCTTATTTATCTTCACTGAATATTTTATTGTCTCTTTTCCAGATGTCTTTATGTGTATGTTTACATACTGTCTTTTCCTTTTTTACCCACGTTCACATACACCAGTCCTTTTGATGGTAGTAGAAGCAATCGCTGCTGTGAATTCTACCCTTACCATCAGTTTCAGTATGCCTGGATTTGAGAAGGCGTTAAGACTGAGTGGGAGGGTAGAGAGGGAAAAGGACAGAACATTCCGTTTGGATGGGTCTTCGGTCTGCGCGTGGTGACCAGGAGGCCTGATGAGTGGGAGTTGTCCAGGAAGTGGATCTGCAGTAACCTGCCCAGGCCCCGGGTCCGTTTGGTGAGAGTGGTGAGGACTGAGAATGGTGGCAGAGATAGAACACCTTCTTGGTCCGTGACTCCCCTCCTGGAGATAGATGTTCATCCACAGGAGAATAAGGAGCCAGCTTTGTGGGATTGTGGGCAAGATACAGTCACATTTTGTGACCATATGGGCGCATGTTTCATGAGCAGGATCAGGAATGAAGAAAACATTCAGGACAAGGAAAAGGCACAGAAGAGTTAATGTCTGTGTCTGTATATCCTTTCTCTGTGTGTGTAAGAGTGGATATATAGAAATTGACCTTATGATAGCAGTTCTGAAATACATGCATTCATATATAATAAACTCTATTTTATTTTATTTTTTTAAGATTTTATTTATTTATTTGACACAGAGAGCACAAGTAGGCAGAGCGGCAGGCTGAGGGAGAGGGAGAAGCAGACTCTCTGCTCCGCAGGGAGCCCGATACGGGGCTCGATCCCAGGACCCTGGGATCATGACCTGAACTGAAGGCAGATGCTTAACAACTGAGCCATCCTGATGCCCCAATAAACTCTATTTTAAAAAACCCTGTCTAGAGGCGCCTGGGTGGCTCAGTTGTTAAGCATCTGCCTATGGTTCAGGTCATGACCCTGGGGTCCTGGGATCATGCCCCGCATCGGGCTCCCTGCTCAGCGGGGAGTCTGCTTCTCCCTCTCCCTCTCCCTGCCTCTCCCCCTGCTTGTGCTCTCTCTCTCTCTCTCTCTCTGTCAAATAAATAAATAAATAAATAAATAAATAAAACTTCAGAAAATAAAAACCCTATCTATATGTTTTCGTTGACACTAGAGATTCTATTTATGATTAACTTCCTTTTCCCACCGGGAATTTCTTGCAACTGATATCCATTATGCATTCTTGTATTAAATGAAGTCAATTAAAAAATTAGCAGAAGTCACAAAAAGGAAGGTAATATGTATTCACTAGCCAACTATTCATAATTTATGTATTTCAAGTTGAGCCACCCACCGCCTCTTCCCTGTTACGCAGGATGACCCACAGCAAAGTTGATCCCAGCGTAGTTTTGCTCTACTTCTCAGAACTGCCATGGCAGCCTTCTACTACAGTGCTTGGGGTGTGCTCAGAAATTCAAATACATTTCGATATTTTCCCAAGCAAAACATAATTTAAGACAAATCTTTTACCAAAAAATCACATACATCAAAGCCAAATACAGATGATGTGGAGATATCCTGTACTGCTGCCCCCTTCATTAGTACTAATAATTGGCTGACCGTGCCCATGGAATCAACCCTCAGCCTTTGGGCCAAAGCCAGTGATAGCACCTGAGGGCCAACAGCAAGCACTGTTGACTGTATTACGCTTTCCGTTCACTACAGAGAGAGAGTTTACAGGAAATGAAGTAGGCAAGTAGGTGAACATCGAGTGCTTCTTCCTGATAGCCACACATGCTCAATTCTTTGTGCTTGGAGATGTGACTGTACATGTGTTGTGTGTGTTTAGTTCTCTTTTTTGAGAGTTAGACTTGGCTGTCAGGTGTCATTTGCTTTATTCTTCCTTAAGTGAATTTATCCTTAAGATTTCCTTCTTTTGTATATTCCTAAGTACTGTTGAGGGCATTTAGATAACGTATTTATACTGTTGATAATCTGAATTAATCAGTCTATATTGAATGGAATTTGATTGCAAATATATCTGTTTCTGATACGTGACCCATTTTATTTTCAGAGAGGCCAGAATTTGTTACTAGTCTTAGAAAATCTCTATATTTTGTCATAGTCATGGTGCTCTAGAATGTGTTTACACCAGTAGGAATCTTAATTCCTCCTTTACTATCGTGTTTGTGGATTGAGAAAGCTAAGCATGGAGACAACACTTTCCTGTCCTGGGGCTCTAACCTTTAAACCTATTGCTTCTAACGACTGGAGCTCAGAAAATTCCATGAAGCACATTTCAGTGAACTGTTCACTACATTAGAATCTCTTTTTTCCTTTGCAGACCCTTCATGTGGCCTTTTAAAATATGTGTTTGAGACAGAGTGAATGTAGAAGCTGAAAATGCCTGGAAGATTTCTGGTTTCTGTCACTAGCTGTCCTGCCTTTTTGCATCACCGCCTGATTTGGATGATGTGATATGCAGAGGGACGCCTTAATTGAAGTCGTTCTTCAGCGAGTTGCCTCTGGCGGGAGGTCGTAGACTTGATTCAAGATGGCCAGTCAGCCGCCAGACGACACGGCAGAGGCTCAGGTCTCTGACGAGCTCGAGTGTAAGATCTGTTATAATCGGTACAATCTGAAGCAGAGGAAACCCAAAGTGCTGGAGTGTTGTCACAGGGTTTGTGCCAAATGCCTCTACAAGATCATCGACTTTGGGGACTCCCCGCAAGGCGTCATTGTCTGTCCTTTCTGTAGGTTTGAGACCTGCCTGCCAGATGATGAAGTCAGTAGCCTGCCCGATGACAACAACATCCTGGTAAACTTGACTTGTGGAGGCAAAGGCAAGAAGTGCCTGCCTGAAAACCCTACCGAGCTGCTGCTGACACCCAAGAGGCTGGCGTCTCTCGTCAGTCCTTCTCACACTTCCTCCAACTGCCTGGTCATAACCATCATGGAGGTGCAGAGGGAGAGCTCCCCGTCTCTGAGCTCCACTCCCGTGGTGGAATTTTATAGGCCTGCGAGTTTCGACTCTGTTACCACCGTGTCACACAACTGGACTGTGTGGAACTGTACATCTCTACTCTTCCAGACATCTATCCGGGTTTTGGTTTGGCTGCTAGGTTTGCTCTACTTCAGCTCCTTACCCTTAGGGATCTACTTACTGGTGTCTAAGAAAGTCACCCTTGGGGTCGTCTTTGTCAGCCTCGTCCCTTCGAGCCTTGTTATTCTCATGGTGTATGGGTTCTGCCAGTGCGTTTGTCACGAATTTCTAGACTGTATGGCACCTTCTTCTTAATTAATATGCAGACTAGGAAATTTGACACACATTGTCGTCCTTGAAGTTAGGTAATTTATCATTTATTTATTTTATAATCTCTGTGACTAGTGTCTATGACGTTAACAAAGCCATTGGCCAAATGTTTGTGGTCTGTTTTTCATCAAAATTTTGACTCAGTTGGTTTTCCTGTATGCTGGACATAAAAAAATGTTCATTTCTACTTAGGTGTTAGCAAAGACACAAAAATGTATAAGCTAAGCCTTCATAGAGCTCTTCTTGTGAGTCTGCCCACAGAAAGGGCGGGATTTCATTTAACCCTGCTGGACAGGCACTAGGGGGAGGTGTGTTAGGCTGTATTAGGGGTCTTTGTGGCAGGTTACGGATGAACTGGTTCCTCTAATCCTCGATAATCTATGATGGAGGGTGGACACAAGAGGAAAGCTGTTCCAAGACACATCTACTTGAAAAATGTGACCTGTCCCTCCCCTGCTCCCCCTCCCACATCTCCCTCCCACACACCTCCTGCACCCCCTTGCACCCTCCTCCCACATCCCCCTTCCCGCACCACCTTCCCACATCCCCTCACACCCCGGTCCTCCACCCCCCTTCCACATACCTCCCACACCCCCCTCCCCGCACCCCTTCCCACACTGCTCCCGGACCCCCCTCATGCCCCTGTCCTCCACCCCCCTCCCACGCCCCCCTCCCACACCCCTCAAACCCCCCGTCTTGCACCCCCTTCACACCCCCCTCCAGTACCCCCTCACACCCCCATCCTCCCCCCCTCCCACATCCCCCTCCTGCACCTCCTCACACCCCCATTCTGCACCCCCTCCCCGCACCCCTTCCCACACTGCTCCCTCACCCCCTCCCACACCCCATTGTTGGCTGCCCCCTGAATCTTCTTCAGGTGTTCTCTTGCAAGTTAAGGCCACTCTTTGTGGTCTGGGGCTCCATTGAGGTGCTTCTTCCTTCTGCACATGCTCCTTCGCCAAGAGGAAACTCGGCCTTGTGCCCTTGTGTGGTTTCAATTAAATACCTGTTTTGCCACATTTCTAAAGAGAATTAAACATACTGCGGAATTTGCATCAAAGCAAACTTCATGACAGAATATGGCTATTTGTCTTTGAGCCCCTTTCCTCCATATTTATTTTCTTCTCTCCTCCCTCTTCTCTGAAATTCTCACAGAGCAGTTACAGTTCATGGAAATCTTCATTTGAGTCTTGCCCTCAAACAGTTTAGTTGAGTTTTGTTAACCACCTTGTTCAACAAGCCCCACCCCTTATCCTGGATGAGGTTCTACTTCAATTAATTGTTAGAGGCATATGAGGATTTCTGCCCCCCCATTGTATTTCAGATTCTACTAGGGACTTATTTAACTTAATCCTATAACAGTTTGGGGTAAATTGTGGCAGTGGAAACCCAGAAATAATTATTGAGATGTTCTAGCTCACAGATTGAAGTGCTGAGAACCCAAGTATTCTTGCTGTACTGTGCTGAATTGTACCAGAACATAATGGTTTAGGCTTCTGTGCAAAATGGGGTTGCACTTGGCCAAAGCAATGGGCAAGGAACACACAGAGCTGCCGCGCTGCTTGAGAGGACCCTTCAGGGCAGTCAGATGGAGGTGGCAGAGCTCAACTTGACGTGTTGCTCTTCCTCTTGTTTTAAAGTCCATTTTAGCATGGAGTCACATTCTTACATAATTTATTTCAAATAAAAGCCTAAGCTGTGTGACTTGAGTTAATGAACTCCTTTTCACAACGTAGGGGAAGTTGAATGTATATATTTATGAGAAGAAATTGTTTAGCAGATTTTAGGTTTGAGGGAATAGAATGTCCACAGAAACGGCAAAAAAAAAAAAAAAAGCTTTTCAGTTCTTAAAACCCATTACTGACGATTAACATTAAAATATTTATTACCATTAGAAAAGGGCATTACTAAGAGGACTTCGACCTGTTTGTGATGAAACATTTATTGTGTGACACAGTTGCAGTGGACCAGTCCGATTTCTTTATTCAGGAGGAATTGACACTTATTTTTAGAATAGTAGTTTGATTTTAATCTTCTAACTCGTGACTTCGAGAATATGTATGCCCAAGGTGAGTATGATGGGAATCCATACCTGGGGTGTGGTCCAATGAATTTAAGCCCCAAGTTATAACTAAATACATTTATAATTTCATAAAATCTAGGTTAGATAGCATTGTGAATGCAGTTTCCAAAAATCCATTTGTACTTAGAGTAAATATAATGTTTAGGAGGTGTTTTGTGGTTTGGATTTATATATTTATAAGGTTTTTAAAAAATGTTCATTTTGTCTGACATGTAACATCAAATAAATTGAGTTATATGATGAGATTTCTAGAAAGCTTTGGATGTGGGTACTGTGTATTTTGCTTATTTGTATAATGTCTGCAGTGCTAAATTTGTGTTTCTTTGTATATTGTGATAGTCTTTTTTTTTTTAGTTGCCAGTAAATTAATTTGGTTTTAAATGTAAAGCAACAAAAAACTCTTTATGCTGTTGAATGAAAACAGGACACTGCTTCAATATTTTATTCACTGTGATAATATTTTGTCTGTCCATTAAATTATTGTTTTGACACCAGAAGTTTGATTTCTCTGACTCATGGTTGAGATTCAGTTATTACTTTGGATTTCTGTTAATGTCAGATAATTGCAAACCTGAACTTTCAGAAACTCTGATGAAGCTAGTGCTTTTATCAGACACATGAAGATTTCAGAACTTCCTGACGAAGTTGATCTAACTGGTGCCACCTCTGAAAGGCCTTACACTTAAAAACCAAACCAAACCAAACCAAAAACAAAACGGGAGGGAATTTGGGAAGACGAAACAAAACCATTGTCTTTATCTTTATAAATAAAGTTTTTGGTTTTAATTTTTTGATTTATTTTCCAGAATCTGCCTAGGTATTCAGCAAAAATGGTATCCATTTTAGTTGGGGAATCACTAGGCTTCTGTGATCTGGGCAAATTTTTATAATTACCCGATCTTTAAATATGACCATTGTTAGGCAAAGTAGACATCACTTGGGAGTATGTAACAGTTTATGATAATAAACATGTTTATGATAATTAGTGAATTGGCACCACATGTTAATCAAGAGTAATGGTTTTCACTCACTTCTGAAATCTTTGCATAAATGAGCAAGGAATGTGGTTAAGGAAAGGCATTACCTGCACTAGTCATAACTTAGATGAGTCATGATTACCTGCTGAGAGAGACACAAGTGATGAGCATGTGCCTAGTTGTAAACAGACACCCTGACTTTGAAGAAATGTTCTAATATGTCATCCAGGTAGATGCAGATGCCAAAGGCAATCCTGTATTGTTAGGGAAAGTGATACCACAGTATAAGGACCACCTCTGTGAGTCCTAGAGTACAGAAGGTGTGAAAAAGAGTTAACCTGAATGGAATGAGGGCGAACTACAGTTCTCTGGTTGAGACTTGTTCTTTTTTCCCTCTTCTTGGCAAAAAGCAAATACCTGCCTTAACTCATTAGAAACACCACATATTATTCCAGAGCTTTCCTTAAAACCAATGGAAGACTTGGTTACAGGTAAGATCTCTGAAAAAGTTTCACCATTGGCTCTTGAAACTTGAATCGTGTGTATTTTCCACATCTCTGCCCGTTAGATGTTTACTTCTCAGCCTCTTAACAATTTATGAATTTTTACTCTTCTGTGGGGAGCTAGAGGCTTAGTATTGGGTCTACCCTGACAGGTTTACTTTTGCGTAAAAGATTTTTTAAAAAAATGTATGCGGATAACTGGATGTTGAAGTTTGTATAAATTCCAAGTGAGTCCTAGAGGCAATACAGACGCAACTCAATTGCTTATGTCATGTAAATTTGTGGTATAGTCAAAATCTCAAGTATGCTCAGTATACAGATATTTATGGTTTTTGACATGAAGGTGCTTTAAATTTAGGAATTAAAAAAAATCAGAAGGTAAATTATGCCCTGCCCATTGTGTATACTAAGTAGGACTGTGTGGTAATGTAGTTTTAGAAGTGGTCGAAGCTTGATTTATGTTTTCATTCACTTACCTGGAACAATCACTCTACAAGCATTTTTAATCAGCCAGGAGTTTATTAGATTTGCATCATATTAACATTTTCCCTTTAAACCAAGATGGTGGGAATTTTATAAGAGAGAAGAATGTGCTGTGACTTCAGAGGTCATTTCAGATCTTGGTTTTCCCATAAAGTTCAGTGCTTTAGGTAAGAAAGTTTTTTGGTTTTGGTTTTGTTTTGTTTTGGCAGTATTCAGACCCATTTACCTCAGATCAGTGGTCTGGCCAGAATGCCTACGTTTGAGAGTCTTTGGTGTTTCAATAGCAAACGGAAGCCAAGGAAGTAGAGAAATGGAGAGCGGGAGAGAGCGGAGGGTCAAGGTTGAGCTCTTTAAATGCAGCCCGAGCCCCAGGAAAGAGAGCTGCAGACATCGGAGGACGTGTGCTCACAGGCGCCAAGAGCTAAGAGGCGGAATTAGCATGATTAGATGAACACAAACGGAAGCAGATGAAGATTACTTTATTGAAAAAATGGCTTGTCAAGCTTTTCTCATGAACAAAAAATTCAGAGAATCTCATAATTATCACTGATACACTCACCTCTTAGAGTGGGCACTTAACCTTTTGCCATATTGGTTCCCCCCCCCAAAAAATAAGAGACCTCCTCTAATTTGACTAAAATAATCATTATTATATCTAAGACAAAAATACTTCTCTAATTGTTTAATATGCAGTCTCATTAAATTTTTCTAGTCCCAAAATATCTTTTATAGCTCAAAGCACAAAACACAAGCCAGGCGCTAATCAAGAGTCACATGTTGCATTTGGTTATTATGTATTTTATTCTCTTTTATGCCAGAACAGTCACCCCACTTTGTTTTCCCCGTGATGTGGACTGCTTGAAGAAACGAGACCTGTTATCTTGTACAATATCTCATATTCTGGATGTCTGTTTCCTTATGGTGGTGAGGAAATGGTCA